GTTGAGGAATGTCCCTTCTATTCCTATTTTGCTGAGAGTTTTGATCAGGAATGGGTGTTGGATTTTATCAAATGCCTTTTCTGCATCAATTGATAGGATCATGTGGTTTTTGTTCTCTGTTTTTTTTTAATGTGGTGGATGACGTTGATTGTTTTTCTAATGTTGAACCATCCCTGCATACCTGATACGAACCCCACTTGGTCATAATGAATGATTTTCTTGATATGTTGTTGGAGTCTGTTGGCCAGGATTTTGCTGAAGATTTTTGCATCTATGTTCATGAGGGATACGGGTCTGTAGTTTACCTTTTGAGTGATGTCTTTGCCTGGTTTTGGTATCAAGGTTATGCTTGCTTCATAAACATGAGTTAGGATTCCATCCTTTTCTATGTTTTGGAGTAGTTCGATTAGGATTGGTATCAGTTCTTCTCTGAATGTTTGATAGAATTCTCCAGTGAAACTGTCTGTGCCAGGACTATTTTTTGTTGGTAATTTTTTGATAAGGTGTTCAATTTCTTCTTTTGTTATGGATCTGTTCAACTTTTCCACATCAGTCTGTATTAGTTTAAGTAAGTGGTATGTTTCTAGAAATCTGTTCATTTCTTCCAGATTTTCAAATTTGTTGGAGTACAGTTCTTCATAGTATCCTGCCATTATTCTTTTTATTTCAGTTGGTTCTGTTGTGATGTCACCCATTTCGTTTCTTATTCATGTTATCTCTATTCTCTCTCTCTTTTCCTTTGTTGAATTTGTCAGTGGTTTGTCATTTTCATTGATCTTTTCACAAAACCAACTTCTGGCTTGTTGATTTTTTTCAATTTTCCTTCTATTTTCTGTTTCATTGCTTTCTGCTCAAATCTATTGTTTCCTTTCTTTGGGTGACTGTAGGCTTTTCCTGCTGGTTCGTTTTCTGATTGCTGGAGATAGTGCTTTAAAGTGTTGATTTTGGCTCTTTCTTGCATTTATTGCTATAAATGTGTGCATTTATTGCTAAAAATTGGCCTCTGATCACTGCTTTTGCTGTGTCCCAATTTTGGTATGTTGTGTTTTCATTCTCTTTGATTCAAGGAATTTTTCAATTTCACTTTTTATTTCTTCTCTTACCCAGTCTTTCTTAAGGAGAGTGTCGTTCAGTTTCCATTTGTTTTACTCTTTTTCTGTTTATCTTCCTATTGTTGATTTCTCATTTGATAGCATTATGATCTGAGAAGATGCTTTGCAGTATTCCAGTGTTTTTAAATTTATTAAGGCTTGCTATATGGCCTAACATATGGTCTATCATGGAGAATGTTCCATGTGCTCTCGAAAAGAATGTGTATTGTGTTGTTGTTGGGTGAAGTGCTCTGTAGATGTCTACAAGGCAAAGTTGGTGGACTGTATTGTTTAGCTCTTCTGCATCTTTGCTGAGTTTCTTGCCAGTTGTTCTATCTTTCAAAGAAAGTGGTATATTAAAGTCTCCCACTATAATTGTGGAGTCATCTCTTTGCCTTTTCAACTCTTTTAAAGTCTGATTTATGTATTCTGGAGCTCTTTCATTGGGTCCATAGATATTTATTATGGTTATATCTTCTTGTTCAATTGATCCTTTAATTATTCTGTTGATCCTTTAATCATTATATAATGTCCTTGTTGTCTCGCATGGTGGTTTTTGTCTTAAAGTCAGTTTGATCAGAAATTAATATTGGCACTCCTGCTCTTTTTTCATTGCCATTTGCTTGATATATCTTTTTCTAACCTTTGATTTTTAGTCTGTTCTTGTCTTTGTCTCTAAGGTGTGTCTCTTGTAGACAGCATATTGATGGTTTATGTTTTCTTACCAATCTGCAACTCTCTGTCTCTTGAGTGGTGCATTCAATCCATTAACATTCATTGTAATTATCAACAAGTATGAATTGGTTGCTGTCATTTTGTTATGTGTTTCAAAAAGGTACTTTTTTGATGGAACATAAACTTACAGTTTTTAAGAGTCATGCATTTATTATCATGTGAGTTAGAGGAAACTTGACTTGCATCCAATTCCTCATCTGCAGTTTTGTGGCTGTTATTACTTAGGAAGAGGCTACATTTTTTTCATACATTGGTTTAAAGAAAAGTGTTGCGTAAATAATGGTACACAGCATGCAGCTGGGACAGAGAGTGAAAGTAGGACTGACTGTGGGGACTGTTAAGAGGACTTGGGAGTGTGTCAATGGAGAATGTCTTGTTGAAAAGAGAATTACCTACTGGAGGTGAGTGGGCAGGACTGTGACTGAGTTGAATGTTTTCCATTAAGGGGGTTCCTCTAAGGAAGTCGGGGACCTGACAGGGAGAACAAACTGAAGCATACTTGAAAGCCCCCCATGGTGCTGTTGGTGCCCGATGGGTAGATCGTCAGCCCTTCATTCCTTGCATTGAATTTCATTCTTTTGTTACTGTTCTTCTCTGGAAAGGAGTGGCCTCACAAGAAAACTCATAGGCAAGTGACCTGACCCGCTTGGGCTTCAGGTTCTCATCAGTAAGTTGTGAGAGTCAAGTGGGAAGATACATGTCACATGTTTAGCATCTAATAAGGCAGCATGTTATTGACGCCATTGTTGTCTGGTTGCATTGTGATCTGTAACATGAGCTTTGCTGTAACAGGATGTGGATGTGTATCGATGAACGTGGATCTTCCTGCTCTTCTAAAGGCCTTTCCTTGTCTTCTTTGCAGTATTCACTTCCCACTCCCAAGGGGGGCAAATATGCCATCAACCCTCATTTGACTGAGGACCAGCGCTTCCCTCAGCTGCGACTCTCCCGAAAGGCCAGGCAGAAAACCAACGTGTTTGCCCCTGACTACATAGCTGGGGTCTCTCCCTTTGCCGAGAATGACATTTGCAGCCGGTCAGCTGCCTTGCAGATCCGAGATAGCACGTTCGGGGCCGGGAGGAGGCGGTTAAATCCCAATGCTTCCAGAAAGAAGTTTGTGAAGAAAAGGTGAAGTGGCAGCTCCCACGGGCACACTGGGTTGCTGCTGCTGTGGAGTACTGGTGTCTCACTTCCCCAGTCGTGTCACTCCAGAACCATCTGGATGGGAAGAACGGGCCCAGCTCGCAGACTGCTGCTGTGTGACTTGCCGTGGTATGCTGGGTGTGTGGTGGGACTGAGCCACCCTGGCCTATGAATATTCAGAGGGCTAGCGTGCCTGCCCTATTGAGTGGAATTTGATAGAAACAGAAGAAGAATGTCCTGAGACATCTTTTTCTGCCTTTAAAGGGGGAATTCCCAAATGGTATTTTTCTAATAAATGTGGTTGCAAGCTTCTGTGCATATTTATCAAATAGTGTTATTTTTTGCTTCTTAGGTAATTTGAAGACTAACATTTACAGTATATACCAGAGGATTAAGCATTTAGATTTCTCTTTTTGCCATAAAATATAGTAAACCAAAAAGGCAAATCAGCTGCTGGGGAGTGGACTTGACTCTTGGCACCCATGTATGTTAGAGGAGAACTGGGCTCCACAGCTTTCCAAGGGTGTGGCCTTTTAGCAGCAGATCTCCAGGCCTTTATTCAGAGGCACTTTTGAGTAGGTTTGAACTGCCAGCCTTGTGGGCCCCCCTTTGCCCTCGTCCTAATCCCCAGCACCTGTGAATGTGTTACCTTACATGTCACAGGGGCTGTGCAGATGGGACTTTAGGGTTGTGTGGTGGGAAGATTATTCAGGTGGGCCAGTGCAATCAAGGGTCCACATACAAAGGAGGCAGGAGGGTTACTGTTAGAGGAGATGTGACCCAAATGGCAGAGTTGGATACGATTCAACCATGAGCCCCGATGCTGGAAAAGTCAAGGACAGATTCTCCCCCATAGGCTCCAAAAGGAACGCAGCTCTGACCACACCTTGTTTTATCCCCAAAAGACCCATTCTGGGCTTCTGAACTCCAGGACTGTAAGATAATAGATTTATGTTGTTTTAAGCCACTGAGTTGGTGGAAATTAATATGTAACAATACCTCTGGTTACAAACCAACACCCAGGGAGAATCTTTTTTGCCTTCCCCTGTCCATGTGTACAGCTCCCTTCCCCACTGTGAGAACCCTGGTTCCGACAATATACTGACTCACTTGCTCAATCTAAAAATTCACAGAAAATAGTTTCAGAGTTGCTATAGCCATATCAATATCAAAACAAATCTGCTACATGTAAAATTTCTTTACAGTTCTTTAAGTTGATAGTATATACTGAGAGTGCTACCTTAAAAGTTTGTTAGTTTTTTTTTTTTCCTTCTTTGCAATAATCTTGCTCATTTGGTATATAACTAACTTGTTTTGGTTTATATTCAGTTAAAAAATTTTCCCCATCCTATTGATGGAATTTTACTTTTATGAAATACAAAAACACTAACATAATTCCAGGGAACTCTGGTGGCATAGTGCCTAAGGCATTTGCTAACCAGAAGGCTGGCAGTTCAAACCTACCAGCCACTCCTCAGAAGGAAGGTTGTGCAATCTACTTCCATAGTGATACCACCTCGGAAACCCAAGGAGGGGTTGCAATGAGTCAGATCCGACTTGACAGCAGTGAGTTTGGTTTTTTTAACGTAATTCTAAATGTCAAAACTAATACAAGGAATACATGGAATTGGATGCCATCCCTTCCTTCATACTACCTCATTTCTCCTCAACATCTATAGATAATTTCATGTTTCTGACTTATAATTGTTTCCGTTTACAAAAACAAGTATGTATGGAATCAATAAAACCAGAAGTTGGTCCTTTGAAAAGATCAATAAAATTGACAAAAAAAGAAAAGATGCAAATGACCAAAATGAGAAACGAAAGGGGACATTACAATTGACCTGCTAGAAATAAAGAGAATTGTGACAGGATAGGATGAGCAGCTGGTGTATCCACAGTCTGGATAACCGAGGTGAAATGGGAGCTCTGGTAGCATAGTGGCTAAGGCACTTGACTGCTAACCAGAAGGCTGGCATTCAAATCCACCAGCCACTCCTTGGAAGGAAGATGGGGCAATCTACTTCTGTAGTGATACTGCCTCGGAAACCCAAGGAGGGGTCGCTATGAGTCGGGTCTGACTTGATGGCACATAACAACAATAACAAATGATGAGCAGCTGGTGTGTCCACAGCCTGGATAACCTAGGTGACAGGGACAGACTCACAGGTGCACACAACCCACCCAAACCCATTAAAGAGGAAATACAAGTCCCGACAGACCCACAGCAAGTGAAGCAAAGATCGAATCAGTTATGAAAACCTCCCAACAACAACAACAAAGCCTGGGACAAGATGGTTTCACTTGGGAATTCTGACAAACATTAAAGCAGAAACATCACCAATCCTGTTAAACTCTTCCAAAAGAAAGAGAAAGAAGGAATACTCCCTAATTCATTCTATGAAGCAAAGATAACCCTGAAAACACACACAAAACTATAGGCCAATATCTCTTACAAATATAGATGCAAAAATACTCAACAAAATAGCAAACAATCCAACAAGATGTTAAGAGTCACACTGTGGCTAAGTGGGCTTGAGGAATGTAGGTGGTTCAACAGGTAACAGCAACGTAATATACTACGTCAATAGAACAAAGGAAGAGAACCACATGATCATCTCTGGATGCAGAAAAAGCATTTGATAAAATCTAACACCTTTTCTTGATGGCAGTGAGATTCTCCCTATGTTCTTGAATTTAAAGTCTAGCAGATGACAAAACTGACTAGTCCTCTCCTTATACCTTTTATGCACATCCCACCACCACAAGGATGTCATGCACCTTATTTACATTATTCGCAGGCTATCCATTCCCCTTGGTGCACTGCAAGCACCTCCCCTGCACACCCAGCCAACTGGTGAGAGTTAAAAAGACCATGGCTAGAAGGGCCATACCAAGCAATTCACTGTGACGCACACACACGGTCACATGCTTTAGCATAAGTAACACAACAAAGGTAAAGGATTTCCAGTACTCTGCTTTCAGCCAAGATCCAGCTGACTTCAGCAGTGATATCCCTTATTCCACATCCTCTTCAGAATCTGGCTTCGATTTCTGGCAGGTCCCTGTCAATGCGCTACTGCAACCATTTTTTAATTATCTTCAGCAAATTTGATTTGTGTTTGCTATTAATAATACTGTTAGATAATCCCCTATTGGATCAGCTTTCTTTGGAATGGGCACAAATATGGATCTCTTCCAGTATGTCGGCCAGATAGCTGTCTTCCAAATTTCTTGGCATAGGCAAGTGAGTGCTTCCAGTGTTAAATCCATTTGTGGAAACATCTCAGTTGTATTCCATCAATTCCTGGAGCTTTGTTTTTCAACAATGCCTTCTTTCAGTTCAACTTGGCCTGATCATAAGCTTGATCATATGCTACCTCTTGAAATGGCTGAATGTCAACCAATTCTTTTTGGTACAGAAATTTTCTTCCGTTCTTTTGATGCCTCCATATTCTACCATAGAATGCTCAATATTGCAACTCAGGGCTTGACTTTTTTTCTTTAGTTCTTTGAGCTTGAGAAACACCAAACATGTTCTTCCCTTTTGGTTTTCTAACTCCTGGTCTCTGCATATTTCATTATACTACTTTACTCTGTCTTCTCAAGCCACCTTTGAAATCATCTGTTCAGCTCTTTTACTTCATCATTTCATCCATTTGCTTTAGCTACTCTGTTCAAGTGCGAGTTTCAGCGTTTCTTCTGACATTCATTTTGTTTTTTTCTTTCTTTCCTGTATTTTTTATGACCTTTTGCTTTCTTCCTGTCTGATGTCCTGGATGTCATCCCACAACTCGTCTGGTTTCAGTCATTAGTGCCCAATGTGTCAAATCTGTTCTTGAGATGGTCACTAAATTCAGGTGAGATATATTCAGGACATACTTTGGCTCTGATGGAGTTGTTTTAATTTCCTTCAACTCCAACTTCAACTTGCATATGAACAACTGATAGTCTGTTCGTCACTTGGCCCCTGAGCTTGTTCTGACTGGTGATATTGAGCTTCACCATCACTTTCCACAGAGGTAGACAATTTGATTCCTGTGTATTCTATCTGACAAGGTCCACATTTATAGTCACTGTTTATATTATTGAAAAAATGTATTTGCAAGTAATAAGGCATTGGTCTTGCAAAAATTCTATCATGTGATTTCTGGCATCATTTCTATCACCAGGGCTATATTTTCTAGTTACTGATCCTTCTTCTTCCAGTGTTTGCATTCCAATCACCAATAACTATCAATGCATCTTAATTGCATGTTTGATCAATTTCAGACTGCAGAAGTCAGTCAAAAATCTTCAATTTCTTCATCTTTGGTATTAGTGGTTGGTGCATAAATTGTATTATTTGTGTGAACTGGTCTTCCTTATAGGCATATCGATATTATCCTATCACTGACAGTATTGCACTTCAGGATAGATCTTGAAATGTTCTTTTTTGACAATGACTATGATGCCAATCCTCTTGAATTTGTCATCCCCAGCATGGTGGACCATATGTTTGTCCAACTCTAAATGGCCAATACCACTCCATTTCAGCTCATTAATGCCTAGAATATTGATCATTATGCATTCCATTTCATTTTTGACAATTTCCAGTGTTCCTAGATTCATAGTTAATATGTTCCACATTCTGATTATTAATGGATGTTTGCAGCTGTTTCTTCTCATCTTGAGTCAAGCTACATCAGCAAATGAAGGTCTTGAAAGCTTTACTCCATCCAACTCATGAAGGTCAACTATATTTTGAGTTGGCAGCTCTTCCCAGTTTTATTAGGAGTGCCTTCCACTTTGAGGGGCTCATCTTCCAGCACTACACCAGATAATGTTCCACTGCTCTCCATAAAGTTTTCCCTGGCCAATTTTTTCAGAAGTAGATCTTCAGGTCCTCCTTCCTCATCTTAGACTGGAGGCTCTACTGAAGCCTGTCCACCACAGGTGACCCTGCTGGGATTTGAAACACCAGTGGCATAGTTTCCAGCACCACAGCAA